GGGTATTGAAGTCTCCGCACGTAATATGATATAAAAATTGTTTAATAATTATGGTTAAGCATAATTAAAGCTATCAAGATTAGAAGCAATTAGTTTATATATTACAGTAAAAGGCCATAAGTTTAAAAGCTGAGGATTCAAATTTTATTTTATTTTTTTTATTTTTTTGGCGTAGAGCCGTAACTGCAGCGCAAGTTTATAAGGCGAGGGTTCAAAGGTTGCGTTGTAAGAGGTTGCATTGTAAGAATTATCATTCGCTTGGGTCAACATAGCTAGGGTCAACACCTTGTCAAACGGCATTTTATTTCTATGGTCTGTTTTACGTGTATATTGATAGACTTGTGAGGTACGTTGTTACTATCATTTGTTGTTGGTGAAGGAGTCAATCCGTCAAATAACGAAAAGCTTTAAAGGTTAAACAGTAACACAAGATTAGAAACTCCGTCTATCAAGTATCAACTATACGATTTGTCAGACACATTAATCAAAACAGGAACCAAAAGATGCGGTTCACACATCAGTCAGTCGAAAACAAATATAAATATAAAAAACCGAGCAAAAATTAACACACAACGGTCACATTATAAAACTTTTGTAACAAGGGACTCATATTCATTGTTCGGGTTTGTTCCATTATACATTATATATTATTGTATAGCCTATTATTGAAAAGCGCCATTCCTTCAGCCGGATGGACGCACAAGGATCAAGTTACACGTGGTTACTGTTTCATTTTTAAAGTTCGTCCAATTTTATCAACCTTCAGTTCTATAAAGCGTTTTGAAAGAAAGCCAGAAAGTAGTAATAACATTTTGTCGTATTAATATTTGTAAACCATAAGGCGTGGTCATTTTTAATAACAACCAGTTAGTACACCATAATTAGCCGGGGACAGTTCATTAGTGTAAACTATTTCTAGTTTAGTATTTTACTAGTGCTAGGCAATTTTACTCATCAAAGGAAAAGTGTTGGCACTCGACGGGTTGATTATTATTTTAGATGTGGTTTTGCTAGTGAGGTTTTTCCAAGGCATATTATATTAATTGTGTAACCAGAAATATCAATGACAAAGAGAGTTTTTTAATAATAGACCACTTCACACACAACCAGATGTTTTAACCAGATGATTGCCTGTGTTTCTACAGTACATGCAACACATGAAACCAAACAAATTATAACACAGCTAACTATACAAATTCCCAGTGGTGGACACCCAAGCCCCCTTACTGTCTCTTTTTACGTGATTGCCAAAGTGCAAGACCAGCGGCACCCACTAAAGCACCGGAGTATGCTAACACTTCTGACCAGTTTACATCACGTTCGCGTTGTCTTTTCTGCTTTTCCTGTGCAAGCTGATAAAATATAGTACAAGAAATAATGAAGAATAAAGCAGCAAAGTAGTATCTCCACGAAATACCGCCCTTTGAAGTAGCTGTAACTTTATTTTTTTCATCAAACAATATCTCGGGAAGTCGTTTGCTTCGTAACTTAACTAAATCCCAAGCTAAATTTGGTACTTTCTTACCGGCCATCGCCTTCATTATAGCGACAGTTTCGTTATCATATAAAATATTCGTTGGCATAACATGTGTCGTAAATTCACTTTGATTCATCAGCAGAAAGCGAATGGAATATATCGCATTACCCAGTATCTTTCTACGGTGCTCTCGTGTTCGTTCCACGTCATGTTTTGAACATTGATGATCAGCCCACTTTAATACAGCTTTAAATAAATCCGTCTCGTTGTAGTAAAGCGTGTTCCTGTTCAGTAATATATCAAGCGTGCTTTGTTTAATATTTAAAAAGTATTCTGAGGCGAAATATTCGTCTGCAAGACCGTCTATTGTGCCCAAACATATTTCAGTAAACGCTTCCGCGTTCAGTTCTAAAATATTCTCGACAAGCTTGAAGACTTTTTGAGATTCGATGCCCATGGTGTGGCTGCAAGCAGAATCGAACAAAACAATTTTGTACTTCATGACCAAACGTAACACCTCGACTTCAAAGTCTGTTGGGCATTCATTTTTGTAAATAAAGCCAAAAAATCCAGCAATGGTTTCGTTATTGTGGTTGGACAGATGAATGGCCTTGATAGGTTTCTCTATATTATTGCTGTAAAACATCTCGTAAAACAGCGGGCTGCTAAAAGCCAGTACGTATTTGTGTGCGTAGAACACTTCCCCAAGTTTGTTAGTTCCAAAAGTAAATTTAGTATCACTCATAAAAGAGTTGTTGTACATTCTTGCGACTTCCGAAGGTTTTATTGGCTGCCATTTTGAATTTGAACTCAACGAGTATTCGGACTCTGCATTTGCAAAATGCGTTGTCCATAACGCCACTAGCATCAACACAAACGGCCAATTGCTTACAAAAACCATGCTGTATGCTTCAGATTTGATAGGTGTAAATGAAATCGTTGGCTCGTTTATATGCCTGTCTGTGATCATTGATCACTTCGTGCATGTATAAATTAAATTAACCTACGTCATAGACATTGAAAAAGTCACTATCCGGCCATCGTACAACCGGCCCTGTCTTTACTATTTAATCAGTCTTTTTAGCCTGGGAAGCATTCATTCAACTAGACTACTTTTATAATAAGTTTGTAAAATGTAGGCGTTTTCAGGATGTAGTATGTAGACGTATTCGGAGTCTGCATTTGCCAAAAGTGTTGTGCATGTCGTATATTAACTAGCATCAATACAAACGACCGATTGTTCACAAAATCCATGAGATTCGAATGTTCAATTCTAGATAAAATTGTTTGCGAATTTTTATTTGTTTGGTATTAATATTCAATACGTGGAAAATAAACAATGTCGATCACTCCGATCATTGTTTTACATAATGATTAATGTTTACAGTAACTAGCCTGCGTCACAGACTTCAAAACACATGTTTTATCACGATAAAAACACATGATAAAACATGTCTGTGACGCAAGCTAACAGTAACCTGCAATCGGGTTACGTATGCCGTCTTTCGAATTTCGATATCGGGATCCGGAACTGGCGGAAGTATCATATATCGGTTTTCAGGGAATCCAGTCTAAATTCCACATAAAAGGCCGGTTTGCACTTTCAATTTTTGCTGTAATTTTAGATGAGTTATGATCAGATTACTTTATCATAATTTTCTGTCAATTTTAGATGATTTGCCTCAAAACGTTCTGGAAGATATCATGCCCCATCGCGACTCGGGATGCCCAGTGGCGTGCTGGGTACTATTTTTCTGGGGGGGGGGGGCGGTGGGCTGTCAACAAATATGCGCCCCTATAATTTTTCGCTTGATAAACGAGGGCCGAAGGCACGAGCCGAGTGCCGCAGGTGCGAGGTTTGTCTAGGAGGGTTCGGGGGCATGCCCCCCAGGAGAATTTTTGAATTTAGAGTTTCTGAAATGCCATTTCCTGGACTTTGGGGGAAGATTTGAAAGAAATCTGATGGTCAGGAAACGGCATTATAACGTGTCAAAATTTGTAATTTGGTTTGAATTTAGTAGTAGTAGTACTTATATTATGCAATGCTAACAACTTCCAGCGATTAATCTAATCCCAATTCTATTCTCTACTGATCGAGTGATCTGAATACAATTACAACATACAGCTCTTTTATACAATAACACACGGACCCCACGCATATGCATTTTAAGGTTTCCCTGCCTGGCTGCCAAAAGGGCGCGTTTCAGCATTATTTCATTACTCGCATTACTCGTGATTGTGATTGATTGTGATTGTGAACTTTATTTACCCACGGTAGACTTATCAGGATTTTACATAAAAGATGATAAGAGAATACAATATAGTTACAGATTACAGAATATAAAAGTTAATTAAGATACTAATTATGTATACATACTATACTCGAACCGTCCTGACCGCGTAGCTCAGTTGGAAGAGCATTGGGCTAGTATTCCACAACCTCGTACCCAGGGCCAGTCGTGAGTTGAAGGCAGCGCCTTCAATTCGCGGCTAGCCCTGGGTACGAGGTTGGTATTCCAAAGGTCGTAGGTTCGAATCCCACCGTGGCCGGGCATATTTTTCAAGCTCGCCCGGTGTGGATATGCACTCAGAGTAACATCACAAACATATTATTCACCTGAGTACACAACACCAGCACAGAAAAAATTCATATTACAAGAACACATTGGTATTGAAGGAACTAGATACTGTTCCGAAATATCACTTACTCGAACCGTACTGACCGCGTAGCTCAGTTGGAAGAGCATTGGGCTAGCATTCCAAAGGTCGTAGGTTCGAATCCCACCGTGGCCGGGCATATTTTTCAAGCTCGCCCGGTGTGGATATGCACTCAGAGTAACATCACAAACATATTATTCACCTGAGTACACAACACCAGCACAGAAAAAATTTATACTAATACTAATTATATATTACAAGAATACCTGTTTTCCATAAGTGCCGTGCTAATATATTAATATAAAAATCTATAATTATTGACTAATGTATAAAGTTGCTGCAGTCTGACTTGAATTTACGTAATGATTAAATAACTAAATTGCGTGCGCAACTTTACATTATCATAACTTAAACTATCTAATTTGCGCCGCTCTTGTGAGTCGTGAAGCATAATAAAGGGCATAATTCCCGTGATCGCTTCGAAACCTGACCAATATTCCGGTGATGAGACATTGCGTGTGATCACAGTTCATGTTTCTATATGAACGATTTCGTGTGAGCCGTGAGGTAGCAACTATTAGCAAATACGGTTAGACAAAATAATCTGTATAATTTAATATGTCACTTTGTCGTCTATTCGCTTAGTCTGTTTTATAAGCCTATAAACACATCTTTTCTCGGCGGAAGTAACTATATTTTTTCAAATGCGTTTTTTCCCACCCACTTTCAAACCTCGGCGCGGGATCGGCGCCCCTTTTTCATTTTTGCGCCCTGCAAGAATTGCCAGCTGGGGGGGGGGGCATTGCCCCCGGCCCCCCTGCCAGCACGCCACTGGGGATGCCACTATATTGCCTGGCGATGTTCTGTCTGGCGAGATACCCAGCACCACAAATTATACACGTAATTAGGTACACGTAATCACAGAATAAAGACATACAGAAGTGTAACTTCCATTACAAAACCGTAAGGCGCTTTTTACCGAAATAGCTGGCGGCCATGTTCTTAGCAAGTGCCCTAAAGAGAGGCATTCACCCCCCTGGAATATTAAATTTTCAATATGTTTTCAGGGGGGTGACTGCCTCTCTTTAGGGCACTTGCTAAGAACATGGCGGACTGAAAAAATCCCTTACGCACTTTTAATAAGAAGATACACTTCTGTATGTCTTTATTCTGTGACGTAATTAAGCGTCGCAAGGTACACACGTAAAAACGCACAAGTTGTAACAAACCTGCAGCAGACTTGTAGCAATGCTGTTCCAACAACTTGTTAACAGGATGTGTTCGCACTGCTTGTTCCCAGCTTGTTGACAAGTTGTCTACGGATTGTTGGCAACTTGCTACAATGTTGTTGAGCTCAACAGACTTGTTACAAGCTGTTCCAACAACTTGTTATCGTCTTGCAATTCAACAATTTGTCAACAAATTGCGAGTGACAACCTTGTAGCAACTTGATAAAAAATAACAGCATTGTTACAATATGTTGACAACCATGCTACAAGCTTGTTGCGAACACATCTTGTTGACAAGTTGTGAGATTTTTACGTGTGTAGACTAAATATTTATATCTCGTTTGCCAAGGATTGTTTTAAATGGCTTCAAACACAAGCATTTTTTCTTTCTACAGTACGAACATGTTTTGTTGGTCTTCGAGATAAACATTCCAGTTAATGAGACGAGAACTCCGCCAGTGCCTCGTTACCTCGAAACATAAGGTCGTGCGGCAATGAATTAAAGTTTAAACATTACGGAATATATAGTACACTAACAAGATGTACTCCCTGCAGTTGTTGACATGTCTGGAACATCAACCTTGTAACACAGAGGTAACTTGTTCCAAACTGGTCGCAACAACTGCCAGGAACAATCGGTGCGAACACAGGGGCACAGTAAATCCGTTAATCCACGAATTGTCCAAGAATTGCTATCGTCAGTATGTAATAGAGAGAACAGACGTATGATGCGCTTTGCCTTGTTTTCTAGGTTTACATCAGTCAAAATACAAGAACCTTCCACTTCCGCTTGTTTTCTCTTTGTGACAACAGGCTCAGTCTGTATTAAGACTGCATGATTGATCCTTCTATTCCTGACTAGCTAATGGTGCTCGTTCTCCTCACGAACCAATTAGAATGGAGATGTTTTAGCTAGTGAACAGAAACCTTTAACACCTAGGAGATTAAATTTTTGGAAACCCTAGCTAATCATAGATTAATAGATTTAAAACATTGTAATTGTCACGTGTCTATAGCTCTTGCTTATTGATGTACACATGCGCGTGAAAACGCGCATGTTGTTAGTTGTTACAGATCTGTAAACAAGTTGTAACAAGGTTGCTGTCAAGCCGATATCGGGATGTGTTTGCACTGGCTGAGTGGCTGTTCTCAGCTTTTGTGATAAGTCTGGAACATGTCATCACATTGTTACAAGGTCAGTTGATGACGGTAACAGATGGGCTTTCTATAAGGGGCCATTCACAAAGGATGTCCGAGCCGAGGGGGGGGGGGTTGAAAAATCAGGACAAACTCGGACATAGGGGGGAGGGGGGTTTTTAGCAATCCGGATGTCCAAAATTTAAAAAAATTCAAAAACAAATTTCTTTTTCCTCTATTTTGAACTCCCTTCCCATT